AGCATCATTTACTGCTGAACTATTTTCTTTCAGAAATTAGTACGTGCTTCCGTAAAGCGATTTTTTTTGTACTTAATTTAAGAATAAAGTTAACTTTCAAATATATATAAACATCGACAAATAAAAGAATAACAAAACACCTAGCCCTAATTTGAAAGTTAACTTTCTTCTTAAAAAAAAATTTAAAAAATGAAATAATAACCAAAAAAAACACCTAAAATTAGAAAGTTAACTTTCATCTTAAAAAAATAAAAAATAAAAGAATAACCAAAAAAAAAAACACCTATCCCTAATTTGAAAGTTAACTTTCTTCTTTAAAAAATAGATAAAAGAATAACCAAAAAACAAAAACAAAAAAAAAACACCTAACCCTAATTTGAAAGTTAACTACAAGGAATTACTGTGAAGGGAGTAAATAGGCCCAAATTGTATACGTCCACCGACAGAATTCAGCACTTAATTACTTATCAATAAGCCGGTCTGACGAAGGACCAGGAAAAAGTCCGATTTTTTTCGGGTCGTTAACATCCAAAAAGGTAGGTTTCTTTAATATCTAATTGTTGATTTGAGTTCAGCATATACATTTGCACGGAGATAAGACTATTTGGGAAAAATTTGAACGGATATTAGCGCTCGGGTGTTAAAATGAAAATTTACCGAAATTATCTATTAGCTTGAAATTAAAACTAAAATAAAAGCTTCAAGCAAGATTTTTCATTTCTAAGATTTCATTTTTTTTTTTGGTAGCACTTTTCTTTGAAGGTACCTATATGGAAGGAGCCGGCTAGAACATGTCTATTTTTTGTTTAGGCTATTTTAGTAGGGGGATTTCTGTCATTTGGTATTTTTTGTTGTCCGGCAGTGGCTCGGACTTAATGGTGCCGGATTAAAGAGGTCAGACTGTATATCGCTATCAAATGTTTCTTGAAATAAAATCAACTTCACATACAATGAACACATTGCAATAAAAAAAAAAAAAACTTAAACCAACTTTGAATACAACTATTTGGGAAACAAAGCCTGTGCAACATTTCCACTATTCGTGGAAATTTGTCTTTAAAATTTTATTCTATCTTGAAGAAAGAGTAGATTCTGTGAGTAGAAAATTAAATGAAAACAAAAATGAATCCATAAAATTTATTTCATTACGCAACAAGTTACACAGCACTTATTTCAATTAATTACCTTATTATTTAGAACGATTAGTTCGCTACTTGGATGTAAAAAAAAGTCTTAGTTGACAATATAAAAGAACACTTGATTATTTATGGCTAATAATTTGTTTAATGCACTGACTATTGTTTGCATCATGTGGCAGTAATTTTAAGTAAAATGATGCACTAAAATAAGTAACCAAGTAACTGTTTTTAAATTCTCTGAATATTGGTGCATATGCATACATTTCTTAACTTATTCTTTTCTTTTTTTTAAGAAAGTCCATTTCTTTATACTAATTTTTGCTTCCCACTTAATACTAAATTGCAAGTGGTCTCAATTGATGTCATTTTTTATATTTCTTTTTTTTTAATTGTTTCTTGAATAGCTTTAAAACAATATTTTCTATTCTTATTTTTAGTATATTAACATGAATTGCTGCATATTTTTCTCTAATTAATTAAGATCTTTATTTTATAAATTAATTTTCAATTTCCATGAAACTTTTGCTGCTTATTAATTCAAAGTATGAATATGCTTTAACTTTAGTAATTTTTAATCATTAATTTTTTAAATTTTCTACAAAGTCTACTTAAAAAATGTTAACTTATTGAAGTCATTTTTTAAATTTATTTAAAATAATAATTTTGTTATTTTTTTTTTTGTAAAAATGTCATGATACAATTTCTTAGTCAATGTTTTCATTAAATATTCAGTTATTAAAACAAGAAATATGCTAAGTTTTCATCAAATATGTATAATTAATCATTTAAATCAGATACTTTAAAAAATTTGGTTATTTAGGTCAAAACTCAAAAATCAAAATTATTGATTTTTTAACTCGATTGTTATTTTGAATATTTGTCAACTGAGAAAAAATCTGTTTCAATTGAAATAAAGCAATATTTTACGAACCATTTTCTTGGTCATTGTTTTGGAAGGCATTTTTGGTTTGAAATTTCAGAATGTTTTCACTTGAGTCTCGAAAAAAGTTGCTTCTTTTTCGTCTAATCGTCATGTATCTGTTGCTATGGGTAACCGGCATCACGATCAAACCAGTGCGATGACGATTCAACTACCGCAGCCGAGACTGGTAACAATTGTCCGACCATACCCAAAAACATGATGATCCTAAAAATAAAAGAAGTCATTTTGTATTGTAAATTTGGTTTGTATGCTAAACTGTTCGTAAAGACTGAGAGAATTTTTTGAATAAATCTTTTGATAAAAATTGATTATAGAAAAAAATAAATTTGATTATAAAAAAAATAATTCTTTATGCAATATTTTAATAATTTGTTTTAATGGAGGGCCTATAAAAATGTTTCTGCTTTTTTAACTACTTATAATTTTCATATCACGATAAAAAGAAAAAGAAAAAACAAAAAAACCTATGTTTGTTTCATAGTGATTCCGAAAGAAATTTCTGATATCGAAAAAAAAAATTTTTTGTGACGGGATCTCCACCAATTCGCTGAAAAATGAGCATACCATGATGAAAAAAAAAAAAGGCTCCAAATTTCATAAAAACGAAGTTTTATCGTTAAAATAAGAGAAGACAAAAGTATTTTTCAATTATTTAAAAAAATAAGTCATAACGTCCGTATATTTTTAAAATAATTTTTACTTTTTTATGTGTATAAACGTGCTGAAAATAAGATCGATAATGATAGTAAATTTTTTAAAGTCAACATTCCTAAAACAAAAAATATCAACAAAATTATCTTTAACTTTTGTTTAAATTTCGGTGTTTATTCATAATGCTTTTTTTTCCCTTCATAAACCTTCTACTTTCCATTTTTTTTTCACATCTTATACTAGGTTTCATCAATTGTTTTAAGAAAAAAAAAACTTTAATGTTTTATTAATTTGTCTCGGAGACGGCACTAGACTGGTCCACTCGTAAGGGAAATTTTCCTATGAATATATTTTGGAGCTTAGCATTTATTAAATAGAGACCTTCCCAAAGCCACATGTCAGAATCAAAAAAGAACTGATATTTTATCGATTTAGAAGAGGTTCTTTTTAAATGCAGTGTAAAATCTATTCATGACTTTTCACAGAGTTATATGAACTTGATTTCTTTTTTAATCTACAAAAAAAAAATGTCAAGTCTGAAACTGTGCTTTCGTCATTGATATTTGCATATTTTTATGAGTGAACTTGTTTTCTTAATCTCAAGTAAGTAAAATTCCGGAGCCTATATAATTATTTCTCACACTGTTATTTTTACTAAATCGATATTCGATTAACAAATCAAAAGTTATTGACAAAATGGGGGAAATCACGTATGTGCTGACATCGTTTTAAAAACTAGAAGTTATCTTAATCGAAACATTAAATTTGATTTAAAGAGGACATACCTCCTCCAATGAACTAATGAACATAAATACCCTCAAGAGAAAAATTAACGCCACAAAAGCACCTTGATGAAAAATGGTTTTTAGCTTCAGTTGTACACGGCCATATCATGTTGTAGTTGTAAATAGTGGTTTCAGTATGATCACCAAAGTTAAACAACGTCGAGCCTGGTCAGAACCTAGACGGGTGACCGCTTCGGCGCTTGGGAATAACCTTCAGTTGGTGTGTAATGAATAATCGGAGAGTAGAGCTGCAATTCCAGATCGGTTCGTTATGCTATCACGCGCAAATACCCTTGAGAAAGGTATGGATCCACCTTTTCTCCCCTAGCTATGGGTTAATTAGTAAGACTTGTAAATCATTCTCAAAATGTTTTTTTTACAATATAAATAATATTTTCTGACTTTAAATAAACTGCAAACGGTTGGTAAAACATAAAAAACGAATCTATCAAACTAAAAATCAAAATCTAGCTTTAATTTAGAGAGGTTTGTCACCATTTGTGTCTTCTTTTTTTTTTACATCACTAAGAAGAAACCTCACCAATCCGACATTAATAAAAGTTTAACTAGTTGAGAGTAGCTGTCAATGCAATTCTACTTGAGTGCATATCAAATTTAAATTTTTATACTTTGGGTGTGGTGCTGTATTATTTTTAGTTCAATTCGCCTTACGTTTTTAACAGAAAAAGAAAAACTAATTTAGATTTACTCCGTTTCGAGCTTCTAGTCTGGTACAATAATGTTAGTGAGAGCACACCTTATGAAAATTAAATTTACTAGCAAAAACACTGACATTGAACTGAACCATAATTCTAAGGACGACACTGTCTTCTTATGTTTCAAACTTTAGTTTAGCTTTACTTTTTTAAAAACTAATGAAATTTACAACACGACGGAACGACAGCAAACTAGATATTTTCGTTTGAATCTATTAAATAATAAATTAATAATCATTAGTGAATTATACAGATCAGTTTCTACATCTTTATTAGTTTTTTTCAGTGAAAGGAAAGTAGGCCGGAGAGTACATTGGTTGTAACGATATAGCAAAAACTGGTCTGAATAAAACAAACTACAGGTTTCAGTTCCATACTCTACTTCCGCAACAACACGTGGGTGGGAGATATTCGTTATTTGTCTGTGCATCCGTAATTCGAAATCTGCCATCGTTGCCACATTAGCAAACAAAACCGTCACTTCCGCTTAGCAGTAAAAAAACCTAAAAAGTAAAAGAAAAGAAAGCACGAAGCCAACTTGAGTTGGTCGGAACAACTTAACAAGTCGCAACGAAATCATAAATTAAATTCTAATGTTTCTTTATATGAGACATCCGTGAGGACATGCTCAGGAAACAATTCCGTTTTATTTCGTCTGTTATTAGCTGTGTGACGAAAGACTGTCGTAAAATCAGCTGCTTTTTGGAAGTTTAAGAGGACTGACCTAGACTCTGCTGTCATCCGCTTCTGATTCCCTCCCAAAATAATGGATAGTATGGAGGATAGTGGCTTTGACAGTGATCCAAAGCCAGCCTCTCAAACAGATCAATTCAAAACACCAACATCTGCATCCGTAAGTCAAAATATGAGTATTTTTTATTTATTTATATGGACAAGTTTTCTTGCTTCATGCGTATTTTAACTTTAAGTGTTTTAAAAAAAAAACTAAGTAAGAAGACAGTTATTTCGGTCGATGTCTACAAGACAATATTTTTTTTAACATGAAAAAAAAACAAATTTTTTTTGGTGAAAAAAACAGTTTAGATATTTTAGTTATTCAGTTGAATTTAATTTGGTACAAGAAGAACAAAAACGTCAGCCACCCGGTGAGTATCATTCACTGCGTACACAGACCCATTTAAAAACTGGCCTTGTGTCGCATCTGCCTTGTGGGGAGATTTGGTAAATACCGAGCATCATTCACTGTGTACACAGTAGTAAATGTCAGCAAAACTCGTTTTTTTTCTTTTATTTCTATTTCTCAACGACAAAAAGCACTAAGTTTAACTTTGTTTGGCACAAGACCTCAACTATTGGGTCCTTTAAAACTGAATAGAACAGTAGTCGGTGAGACTAGCTTGCTACATTGTTAAAAATGTTAACTGTTGCTATTATATGGTTGGAGCACCTTCTCCATATAACAATATAGAAATAATAAATAATTTATTTTTAAAAGAATCCTATTACTAATCTTGATATTTCGACATGATGATTAACAAGCTTGTCTTGCCAGATCAATTACCACCGAGTATTGAGTAACCTTACCTTACTAAGTGCTCTATGATTGCATCCTTGTGCCACACCTAAGCTACGCTTAGTAAATTACCTGTCTCTACGCTTGCTTTACTCGAAAAAGTATAACGAAGAGGAGTGTTTGGTCACATGCTCCGTTATCGTAAGCCGTGCTGTAAACATGCAGGTTGGCATTTTTGGTGTTTTTTTTTTTTCTTTCTTTCAAAATGTCTCTTTAAGTCTTTAAGAAATTATGAATTCATAAAGAAGAGTTACGCCATAAACATCCTTTTTTACTTTTTTGTGTGTGTTTCATAATTAGTTTAAGAGGACAGTTCTCTTAAATAAAGTAACTGAAAAAAAAGAATACAAAAAACATCTGTTGTATTTTTTAAATCAATCAATAATGAACTTACTTAGCCTCATTATTTTTGTTAATTGATAATTTTTGTAAACTTATGATTTAAAAATTGTGGCTTTAGCTAAGAAAGTTTATTCTTTTTTTTATATTTTAAAATTTTAATCATTTGTTTGAAATGTCATGGTTAACAAAACAAAACGTTATTTTACTTGATCGATCCGACTAAAAAACACGCATGAAAAAAAAAAAATAAACGTTTTTTTCACTTTTCATGTCAATTTTGTTATTTGCTTTTTATTTAATTTATCTAAAAATTACATATCTCTGCATTATTTTTCTCTCCCTTAAAACGACTTAACTACGTGTTTGGTTGAGAGGAAAAAAATAAAAACGGGAAAACCGAAAACGTGTTAAAAAATTCTTTATTTTTTAAAAAATAAGTTTTTTTAACTCTCTATTGTTGTTAAATTCTTAATTCTCTTTTTTTCTTTTTTTTGTTTTTTTTTTTTTGTTGTGCGTTATGAAAAATTAAAGTGAATTTTGTTCTAGGTATGATTGTAAGTAACGAAATCAACTGTTGAATTATTTGTTAAAGTTTGTCCCGGCTTTACGCATCTGACACATTTTTAAAATTCTTCATATTTTGTGTCATGTTTTTTAGTTTTATGTTCCAATCACCAGACTCGGTTGTTAACCTTTTATTTTTACTACGTTTTAAAATTCCACAGTAAAGTGTACTCTGCTATTTTTTTTCTTAAATGATGGGTCAACTTTTTTTTTTTTTTTTTTTTTTTTTTTCAATGATCCCTTCAAAATTAGGTTTTTCGGGCGAAGGCAAAACAATGAATAAAAGTTAATTTGTTAAACCGTTTTTGTTTTTTATTGTATCCGAAAATCTCCCTTTTCTTAAAAAAAACAAAAAAAGAAAAACACGCCGTTACTTTCGAGCATGTGTTTTTTCTTGTTGGTACGGAATCCATTCTCCTTCAATTCAAACAAATTGTTTTCGACATTTACAATTAATTACACTCCCATGAATTCATCATTGTCATCAGAATTCAATTAACTTTTCTTTTTGGTGAGGCGGAGAAATTTAAAATAAATTGTTTTATTTTATTATTGTTTAAAATAAATGAATGTTTACGTTTTTTAGAATCTTTTTTTTTTTCTTTTTTACTTTACTAAAGAAATCTGTGTTTTAGACATTTTACATAGAATTCTTATTCTTTCCATTCCACTAAAAATAAAAAAGATTACTAGAGTTATAAAAAGGATGGTGGGGAATGTACACTTGATTGAATCAATTTTAAAATTAAAACTTAGTCTCTACTTTTACTTTACTGACTCTAAACTAAAAATAAATAATTTTTATTTTCATCGTTTTCGTTTCAGATAAAAACAACTTGAGGCATATTTTGAAATGATTTTTAAACCCTCGAGAAAATTAGAAATTAATCACAAACAAATATTGTTTTATTTACAAATTCAGACTGAAAATATCAAAAAAAAAAAAAGATTGCTCACAAGGTATTTTTAAAAAGTTATGGACTCAATTTAAAAAAAAAATCGAGTTAATTCAAAATACTAAGAAATAAACGACAGTCAGTACTAAAAAGTTTAAAAAGAAAAAATTTATGATCAAGAATTCGTCACCTCTTAAAAATGTGGTTGAGGTATCGTATCTGTCTTAGGAATTGATCTTTTAAAACTTTAACAATTGATCATTACATTCGATCAATCAATATCTTTTAAAAACTAATTGTTGGTTGGTAATAATAAAAGAAGGCGTATGATGTTTTTACTAGGGATCTTTGTTCTGGAGTGATATAGTCTTTTGTTTTTAGTCAGTGAATTCAATCCTCACGACTAGGTGCGCCACTATTATGGCCTTATACCAGACACATCTATCGGTCGGAAACATTGTTTTAGAAAACTGGCAAGTTAAAAACAACTAGCTATCAAAATTTGTGTGTATGTGTTTTTTATTAAAAGTAAATACGCATTTCAATAGGGCTTTGTTGCCGCTTTAACATGTTTTAGTTTTAAAAATGTCCTTACGATCAATTTATCATCGATCCGACAATAATTGAAAAATAACAGATAAAGACACTTTTTAAAAAAAATCAAATATCTATTTTAGCAGACTAGTTTAGGATTAACAAACAAAATCTTTTAAAAATATTAGTACTGTGCGCTTTAGGGAAAAGCTAAAAAAAAAAAACACCTTTGAACACAGCCAGATATTCCAATTGTCAACAAGTTCATAAACAATAACTTCCTCAAACCCACAATTTTTTTTTTTTTTTTTTTTTTTTATACACTTTTTTCATCATCAACTGAAAGAATTTAAAAATTGTACTGAAAAATTATAAGTAAATTAAAAAATAAATATACCTTCTCCTGCAGTTTCACATGTTTTCAGTTTTATTTAAATTTTGCAATTACCAACTCTCAACAAAAATTATTTTTTATAAGGGTTCAGGATAAATTTTCAAGTTTCCGATTTTATTATTTCAGTAAAGTAAAACGTTTATAATATTTTCAGGTTTTATTCTTTGTAAAAAATAAAAATATTTTTCATCATCTAATTTTTAAAAAATATTCACAATGTATCAAAATGGGGATGGTAACTGATGTCTCAACCTCTCCCCCATATTTCTACTGAGTTTTCTCATCAAATAACTTATTCAGGATACAATTCATTCATTAATGAATAAGTTGTGAAAATTTCCTGATCTTAGTTAAAAATCTTTATTTTACTTACCCCCACCCGCTCGAAAAAAACGCATCCATTTTTTTGGCACAATCAAAAATTTGCAATATTGTTCAGAAAATATGGAAAACATTAAAATAAATGCTAATAATAATTTTTTTTTTTTTTTTTTTAACCGACAATCTCAAAGTATAATGAATTAAATTTTCATTTTTAATTCTGTTTTCAATTGTTGCTTTTAAAACTGACAACAGTAACTCCTGGAAAATATCTTGGTAGTTTTGTGTAGAGGGGGGCTGCTTATAATTCACATATCCTCTGTGAAATACAACTTTAAATTTAAGATCTTAATTGCTAATTTCTGTTTTTAATACTGGGTTGATAAGGCTTCATACTGCACAAGCTTTAGTCATAAAAAATCATCTACTTTTTAATTAAACACATGTTTTAGTCTGTAGAAAATTTAGAAATACAAATCAAAATCCAATTGATTGATTTACTTATTTTTTATTTTAAAATAAATATATTAAAAAAAAAAAAATCTTTATTAAAAATTTCTATTTTCAGGGGTTATATTTGCCACTTGATAATTTATCTTCATATTTTGATAGTAAAGTTTTCCTGACCACTGACAATCCCTTTTCTACAGATTCCCAATGTATACCATACAGATTAAGTACTGAAACTTTTCAAATTTTAGGTAAAACATTGTGAAATTTTGCATATTTAATAATCAAGATTTTTTTTCAAAGCCACTGGAAATATTTCAAAGTGTTGCTTCAGAAAAAGACTAAAGATAAATGAAAGAAGTAATAGTTAAAGTTAGTAATAATAAAAACCCCAACTTTTTTTTTCTTTTTACCACTAATATCAATAAGAGTTAATGAATGTTCCAATGTAGTAGCAATTAATTATAATAATTGTTGGAATTTTTTAGTTGGATGAGTATTCTCATTTTGATTCTTATATGCACAAAGCTATTGTTCTTCAGGTTTTGTAATGTTTTTGAAATTTTGAACTGGGGGTGGATTGTTCTTATTCCACTTTCCAATTTCTCAGGGAATATCTCCTGTCAGTTAGGTCTCAAGAGTTTATTCACCTTTTGTGTTACTTGTCTGTTTCTTCCAGTGAATCAGAATATGTGATCTTTCAACACCATCCAACACAGTGAACTCACAACTACCAGGAAGCCTTAATTCAATAGTGTAATTTTGGAGTAATGTCTGTACTCAGATGCTAAAATTTTTCAGTGTCCTTTCTTTCTTAA